GACATGTGAGAAGGCATTGTGTTACAGTGGATTCATTTAGAGTTATACATGCCACAGTTAATCATTCTCTGATCTCTGACTAAATCTGTCAGCCTTTGTATTAATTACAATTTGCTCCAAAAAGAAATCTCTCTAATAAGGGTTGAAATTGTTTTGTAAGCGGCACTGAAAAAAATTAATCGTATCTCAATGCTACCTGTGAGAAAATATAAGAGCAAAGAAACGTAAATCAAGTATAAGAAATATGGAATGGGGAGAGGGAGGGTTCTGGAATGGTGGCTCAGTGGTTAAGAGCATAAGCTATTCCTACAGAAGACATGAGTTTGCTCCTAGTAACTATACTGGACTTCTCACAATTACCTGTAGCTCTAGCTCCAAGGGATCTGACTTTTTGGGGATCCACATGCCCACAGACATAGACACATTCACATCCCCCAAGTAGAATTGATTAATAATATATTATAATAATTTAAAAATAATTCATTTTAACTTCCTCACTGAATAAAACTGAAATTAAAAAAAACCTCAAACACTTTACCTTGTTTTTCTTCATTTAATTTTTGACAGTTATTATAAAACTCCTGACCAAGTTTGAGCAGGAAGCATGTAAGAGAAAACTGTTAAAACACATACAGAAACAACCTCTTTCTATATGGAGTAAGTACGGTCTCTGATATGAAGACCATCAAAGCATTGAATTAGTTTTGCCCCTGCTTCAGAAGCTATATGCATTATTAATAACAACAAAAGTTAAAATTAATCTAAATTTTTTAATTAAAAACTTATGCATTTCTTCTGGTTTCCCTACGAAGTTTCTCAGTAAAACACTGAACAAAAGTCATTCTGCAAAACACATGCTAGCATGAAGGTCAGATGTATGGCAGGAATTTTAGAGAAAGAATAAGAAAGCATAATATGTTGGGGGCAGTCCAAAGTGTTAGGGAAAGCTTGCTTAGAAAACAGGTAGAAAGGAAAAGTTGGAGGTCATGCTTCTTCGAAGAATTTAGAAAAGCAAACAGACTCTACAGTGTTCCTTGGGACATGTGAGAAGGCATTGTGTTACAGTGGATTCATTTAGAGTTATACATGCCACAGTTAATCATTCTCTGATCTCTGACTAAATCTGTCAGACTTAAAGAAATCTGCATGTCCATAAGCACTGCATTGGTGGGGGGCGGGGGGGGGACTTCCAGGCAGGGAAAGCATAAAATTTCATTCATACTTTAGGTATCTTATCTCTTTAACAGGAATTAGGGTGAACTTGCCTTCCTAGGGATGGAACTGTAACCAGCTGACTGAGCTGACAAAACTGGAACATTAAGGTTCCATATACAGGCCAGAAATTCTTATTATCTTGACCAGATTTCTCATAAGGATTATTCGTTTTCTGCTGCTCTAACGATATAATTCTCTAACCCAGACCTTTCTGTAGATGATATGCTGTTTCCTTAGAAAGATTTTGAAATATCAGCATGAACAAACAACAACAAAAACATCAACAAACTTTCTTCTGGTTTACCTACGAAGACGCTCAGTATTATCCTTTTATCATCCCAGGTATTTTTAAGTTCATATTAAAACTAGAAGGAGGTAGGATTTCATATATACATGTTATATTACACATATAGAACCCTTTTAGGTAGATTTCTTATACCTTTTCATATATATTTAAGTTTCTTCCATGTCTTTCATGTTAAATCCCTTATTTTATCAGCATTAAATAGCCCATTTCCTAGATGTACAGAGTAATTGAAAGATATCTCGGTTACTTTCAGTTTGGAACATTAAAAAGGATGTTATAGCTATTACAATACAGTCACAATCACAGTGTAATTTGTTTGTTGCTTTCTTCTTTTTAAAGCAGATTTTATTTTTTTAGCTCATTTTAGCAGGAATGTCTTTGAATCAGATCCAAGAACCAACTCTTTACTCAAAAGTTTTAGGCAATATAGAGTCAGGAAGATGATGTAACCAGTTACATAATTTGCTTTCTTAGAGTTTATGGAAAATGTTCTTAAATTAGGCATGATGAATGGACTAGTGTAACTGTTAACAGCATTCAGAATTATTGTCATTTTCTTTTTCACTAGTTGTTCAAATTTCTTCATTGAGAAGTCTGAGTGTGACCCAAGGTCTACTCTATGACACATCTAAATACATTGACTTCTCTGTTCCATATCTGATTTATAAATACTACCAGGTGATATGTATGATAATGTTCTACCAAAACTAACAAAAGGTTATGAATTTCAATTTCTCTACTACCACAAACTATCTGTAATTTAGGATACTCCTCAAAGCACAATTATTTTAATAAATATTAAGCACATATTACTGATAAAGACCTTATCTTACTTGCACTGATTCATTTTTTTATGAGAGTGACTTTAATGACATCATCCCAGTTGTCTGAAAAGTTGAGATTTCTATAGTATTTGATTAATGTGACTTTAAATCAGTGTTATGCTCCTCATTAATTCTATTAATAACAATAAAATCTTCAAATATATGACATAGTTTCTAATGATTTAGGTTACATGTATTTCTTTTTTCTATTATAAGCCACATCCCTTCTAAATGTCTTCAAACCAACTCTATGCATCCATTAAAAACAGAGTATGACACCACACTTTCCTTATAGCATTTTTCATCTCTGCATTTCTCAGAGTATAGATGAGGGGGTTGAACATAGGAGCAATGATGGTATAAAACAAAGCAATGACTTTATCCTCAGGCAAAGCAGTAGGAGGTCTAAGGTAGGAAAAGATTGCAGGTCCAAAAGATAAAGTTACTACAGTGATATGAGAACCACAGGTAGAGAGGGCTTTGCGTCTTCCCTCAGTTGAGTGATTTCTCAAAGTAAATAATATAATGGCATAAGAAATGCACAAAATGTTAAATACTACTAATGTTATGATCCCTGAGTTGGCAACCACAAGAACACCCATGATGTAGGTGTCAACACATGCAATTTTTAGCAAATGAAAAATATCACAAAAGTAGTGATCAAGTTCATTAGGGCCACAAAAAGGCAACTGGATTGTCATAGCTAACTGAGGAAAGGAGTGGCCAGCACCACCAGCCCAAGCAGCTAAAATTAGTAGATGAGACTTGGTCCTGTTCATGATGACCATGTAGTGGAGGGGCTTGCAGATGGCAACATAGCGATCAAAGGCCATGGCTGTGATAATGAGGATCTCAGTGCAGCCGAAGAAGTGCATGGTGAAGACCTGCAGCATGCAGTAACTGTAGGAAATGGTTTTAGTTCCTGCCAGCAGGCTGCTGATAAGCTTGGGCATGACAGTAGATGTGTAGCAGATATCCATGAAAGACAAGTGTAGGAGGAAATAATACATTGGCTGGTGAGAAAGAGAGCTACACAGAATAGAAATAAGTATCAGGATGTTGCCTACTAACAGAGCCACGAAGCAGAGGAAGAGGAGCAGGAGGCAAAACATCTGTGTGGATTTGTCATTGGAAAGCCCCAGAAGAACGAACTCAGAGATATTGCCCTGGTTCTCCGTGAAGATGGCCATAGGTTTTCAGCACAGAACTTAGGTACCTGAAAGAAATTAAATGAAAGTTTAGTGAAAATTTAGCAATCAGATCACCAGAATTTAAATGCATAAAAATTAAATTAGCATACAAAGAAAATGCATAATTTCTGATTTATGAAATAGTAACCATTCTTGTAATGTTCATCTTGAAAATCTACTTTTGAATAACTCTACAGTGAGTTACTTATGATCATGTGTGTTATTAAATTTACTTATAATCATTTTAAATATTTAAACATTGTTTAAAATTACAAAGAGGAGGAAAACCGTTTTGAAAGTATTTTAAGTGGTATGGTTTTGTTGTTAGCAATCATTTGAAACATAAAACTGAAAAGTCAAATAAACAGAACTATTTTAATTAAAAATATAATATTCCCTTTAAGATGATTACGGTAAGCAAAATTTTTAAGATAAAAATCACAATAATGAAATGCATAATATTAAGTAACCACTGAAAAACAAGTCTAGCTACACAAAAATGAGGAAGCATTAAAAGCAAAATAAACTGACTAGTTGTGATTGTTGGGCTGATTATGTCGTTAGACATTACCTTCCCCCATCTATAACACTAAGGAACCATGAGATCATAGGAGATAGCTCTTCTCCTGCATGCTTGACAACACATAGCAACTTTGCCCATATAGTTCCTCCATTTTGAATGAATAGTTTGACGGTAAATGAAAGTGTCATGTGTATGTCTATAATTAAATCCAACAAAGAAATAAAGGTAGCAGAACATTACTCTAATCAGGTAAATTTCAATTCTGTAAACAAAAAGTCTACATAGTGAGATGGCTTATTTTAGAAATTGTTTTAGAACTATTTACTAACACTTTTTGTTTTTGTTTTTACTTGTTTTCCCTTTATAGTTGATCTTAGCCAAAAGGCTGAGAAGCGATTTGTTTCCCTTTTAAAAATGTAGCCAAATCATTACTTTATTTCTTTGATGGTACAAGATAAAAAATCTTAGCCAAAGGGCTGAAAAGCGATTTGTTTCCATTTAAAAATGTAGCCAAATAATTACTTTATTTCTTTGATGGTACAAAATAAAAATTTATAAAAATGGTAGGTTTTGTTTCTGGAAAAATACCTGTCCTACAGTATTCTGAAAGAGAAAAATTATGTACCCTTTAACAGTTTAAGGCTAGCTTTCTGACTTTATAAATTATAAAGAAAACCAAAGGCAGACTCACACTATCCAAATATGGATAATTATCAAAATAATAATCATAATAGATACTTTTAAATGCATATTTAATTTTAATAGATGGATATGTGAAATTACTTGATATTAGTTGATTCAGGCAAAATTGGTGTGTTGTAAAATGGTAGGTTTTTTTTTTTCTGGAAAATACAAACCTTTCATTGTATAGTTATTCAAACAGAAACTCATCTGTCTTTTTATGGGAGACATGTCTACATGCCTGTGAATCAAGCTCCACAAAAAGCTATGACAGTCTTAAAAGCATCTTCAAAGTGGCTATTCTTAAAATATATTTATAGTTATGCACAATGGACATCAAAGAATGTAAAAGAACACTACAAAATTTAATAGTGTGGTGCTGGAAAGATGACTCAGCTGTTAAGAGCATTAAATGCCATTGCAGAGGACCTGGGTTCTGGTTCAATTCCCAGAACCTCAAATGGCAGCTAACAACCATCCATAACTCCAGTTCCATGGGATCTGAAGTGATCTTTTGAGCTCTGTGAGCATTATACAACAAGGGTACACTTACACACATAAAGGCAATACACTCATACATGCAAATTTAAAAAAATATATAAGAATAAAATAAAATATTTTAAAAATTAGTAGTGCTTAGAATGAAATTTTATAGACCAAATATAGAGTATATTTAAACTCGCCCACCAAGGTGGTATGGGTAATTCTCAAACTGCTGTCTGATTATCATATCATATTCAGGCTTCATCAGGAAGTAGTTCTACCCCGTGAACTCACCTTGCCTATAGTCTCCTTATGAAACTTTCAAATAAAATGCAGAGTTCTCAGGCAAACGGTTGAAAACACCCAACCCCATTATCTTAAAATACTTTTGATATTTCAACATCACAAACATGCTACAAGTTTGTGAGTAGACTTTAGCAATTTCCTAAAGCCATTATAATGTGAGAGAGACCACAGAAGACTGCCAGGGATTTGGAATACGCAGCGAAAATTTTTTATAAGCTCTCAGAAGAAAAATCACCAAAAAGTCTTCAGAAATTCCTTCAAAGAATAACATTAATTTTAAGCCCTGAATCATTTATTTTATGCCCTTGATTTCAAGAAATTTCTTTAGGGAAAGCAGAATATAGACTTCAGTGGCAGTGCATGATTAACAGGTCATTGGATGTTCCAATAATTGTATTCCCACAGCCATTCTTAAGCAGGCGCTGGCCAAATATTGTGGAGATAATGGCAGTGGAGATATCCCTGCAGCCTCTTGAGGCTTGCCTGGTGTGGGATCTGTTTCCACTCAGGACCAAAAATGAAAAACACCTGTCCTACAGTATTCTGAAAGAGGAAAGTTATGCACCCTTTAACAGTACAAGGCTAGCTTTCTGACTTTATAAATGATAAAGAAAATGAAAGACAGACTCACACTATTCAAATATGGGTAATTATCAAAATTCTAGATATGTAGATGAATGAGTTAACTCAGTCACCTGTAGGATAGTAACACCAGACTATTTGTTCCCATTATGACAGAAAAGGGGATGAAGACTCAAATACCAGTATGAACCTAGCCAGTCTGCAGAAGTAAGAAGCCCTTTCTTACCTGGCCTTCATTTAATAGACAGAACTCCATTTAAACTCTTAAAAAATTATTTATATTTGTTTAAATTTTTGTGCATTTCATACATCTTAATCATATTTATACTCCCTCCCCCATCTGCACACCCCATTCCCCCTGCTTGGGTTTCATGCATTCTATTTTAAATGTTAAGGTCTCTAGAGTCGAGTTTGTGACCTTAGATGTCCCTTAATGTGAATTCATTCCCCGGAGCTACACAATGCTGTCTTGTGTCACCGCCTTAAGGAAGATTCACTCTCCCTCACCCTGTAGTGATCAGCTGCCAATAGTTCATCAGCTAAGGTTGGGGCCCGCTGCTCATTTCCTCAGTTCTCTGCTGGTTTTTGTCTGATTGAGCTTGCATGGGTCTTGTGCATGCTCACCAGATTGCTATAAGTTCATATGAGCATTTCCTAGAGTCCTGGAACACTCTGTTTCCTTATGGTCATGTACCAACCCTGGTTCTTACAGTCTTTCCATTCCATTTTCTGCACCCCTAGGTGGGTGAGGTTTAATATGAGTCCTATCGAGGGACATGAACTCTTCAGTCCCTTATTCTCAAATAGACCCTTAGTTCAGTAAACCAAAATAATATATATTTTAAGATTTTAAATAATTTTTTCATTATTTTCAAAAATGTCACTCATATTTACTATGAAATTCTATCATATCCACTCCCCTGTTTACTCCCTCAACTCCCTCTTTCTTGCCCTTCAACATACCCCCTCCTCAACCTCATGTTCGTTTTGTTCACTAGCTTACATCATGAATTTATAGCAGTTTTGTCTCCTGTTCAGGACCTATACAAGTTCAAGAGAGCCAAAACTCCATCACAGGTTGGGGAGGTACTCTCCAGGCCCCATCCCTAACCAAGGAGCTATGAGCACTTGATAAACACTGAGAAACAAAGGATGTTTCTTTTGTTAGGGTATTGCTAGAGGTAGATTCCCTATGCTCAGTGGATGATAACATCCATCCACATATGTGCAGAACTAATTCAACTTAAGATGCCTGTTAAATATTTTTTAAAGATTTATTTAATTTCGTATGTGTTTGTGTGTGTATCCAGTATGACCAGAAGGGGACCTCAAATTCCTTGGAGATTGAGTTCTGGGTGTTTGTGAGCCATCTCATGTGAGTGCAAGGATTTGAACTCCAGGCATCTGACAGAGCATTGTGGCCACCAGGGGCAGCCAGGGTACCTGAATGGATTACCATGGTCCTGAAAATAAACCAGGAGACCCAGATTTCCATGCACCTGAGTACTGATTGTATCAGCAATTCTGCCTTTATTGCCATACTTGTGAGAATCACAGTCACATGTTTATAGAGCTGAACAATAATAAAATGGCTTCTCATACTCATAAGAACCAAGTCAAATATTTATAGAGCATTGAATAATAATAATATTGCTTGAATATAATAATTCAGCAAAATAAAATGAGCACATCAACATTATCATTATGCTCTGTCTACTTAGGTCAACATGTTTCATGAGAACCTAGAGGGGGAACCAGAATTCTGAGATAACTTCCCAGCAAACATTCTTGCATAAACTTTCTCAAGAGTTTGCCTCATGTTCTCCAGACAGGCTCAAGTTTCAGCTAATACACCCAGCATATTTTTAAAGACATAGGAACACTATTTCACAATCCCTTCCGAGGAGTAATCGCTATTAATAGCTAGCATATCTTTCCTGTCCCTTAAGCACCATGTTACTATTACAAAGAAAATCTTACTGGATTTGTTAGTGTAAGAGCCTTGACACCAGTAGTCCTTACACAATAGACTTGGCCACTCATTCTCAAGAGATCAACTAGAGAAATAAGTAATAGTTTGAAAGCATGAAAAGGAGACTTATTCAATGTGGCCACTTTGGCGAAAAAATAACCAAAAAAAAACATAAAAACTAAACAAAAAACAAACAAACAAACAAACAGAAAGAAAACAAAGAGGTCCAGCGAAGCCCCATCTTGAGGGTTAGACTTAAATAGAAGGCGAGAGATAGGCAGAGCGAAGCACTCCTGGTCAAGGTCTGCTCCTGCACAGCGCTGTTGTCTTAGGTGTTGTCTGTCCTGGAAGACTGTCAGAGTACTTGAGAGAACTTTGGGGAAAACGTGTCTGGGAAATAAAATCCCTCTCTGGTTGCCACCACATTCCCAGCCTTTTTCTTGGCCAAGCAAG